AAGGTAGAAAGGAACCACCATATGAACCAGCTATAACACTCCTTGGTACTTATCCTGAAGAATTAAAGTCAGCATACTGTAGCAATACATGCATACCCCTGTTTATAGCATCACAAATCACAATAGCCAAACTATAGAACCAGGCTAGATGTCCATCAATGGATTAATGGATAAAGAAAATGTGGCATACATACAAAGGAGTTTTAGTCAACAATAAAGAACAATGAAATCATGTCATTTGCAGGAGATGTGCATATACTACATACATATTTTTAAATTTTTTTTTGTAGTTGTAGATGGGCAGAATGCCTTTATTTTATTTGTTTATTTTTACGAGGTGCTGAGGATCAAATCCTGTGCCTCACAGATGCTAGACAAGTGCTCTGCCACTGAGCCTCAGCCCCAGCCCATGCATATACTATATTGACAACTGAATGTTGGCCATATCTCTGTAAGAAACTAGGGACACACACTGTATTCATTCCCTTACATGTTTACATTGTATACACATGTCATTGGTATTAAGATGCTAATTTAGTAGAAAGACTAAGTAAAAGTAATCTTGAACAAAGTCTTGATTTCTAAGTGGTCTTTGAATGAAAACCAACCTCTATGAGGCCTGACCTAGGTTACTGGCCCATATTCTAGGAATTGGAAAAGTACAAAATGACTAGAGTAGATGGTGTAGAAAAGGGAGTGCAAAGTGAAGAAGTAAGCAAGGGTGAGCTCATGACTACATTTGCACATTTTAGTCAGAGTGTTCATTTTGGAGGTGGTGGGAAAACCGTGAAGTAATTTAGAAAAATGTCCTGGGACGATATTTGGATTTCAAAATAATCAATAATGGCAGGGTTAGATGCAATTAGAAAGAAAAAAAAAAAAGGCTTATCTAATGACACAGGTGAGCAATGATGACCTGAATGTCTGGTGGTGAAACAGAAACATAGGAACAGATGGTAGACATACCGAGTCATTAGTGTGAGAAAGGAAGGGGAAAGGAAAGGAAGGCATTCGGAGGAACTCCAGGTCTTCTGGCTGGACAACAAAATGAATAATGGTTGAATTCTTTAAGATAACACAGAGCACCAGAGAGAAGCAGGTTTCAGTGAGATAAAGTTTGGAGGATATTGTATTTAAGGGGCCATAAAATATGGCCAATAAGCAACATAGACAAGAATGGATATGTGTTTAAAAACAGAAAACTCAAAGAATGAAGTTCCCTGTGACTATGAAATATCAAGGATGAAAACAAGGTGATGGAGATAAGAAAACACAACCTTAAAACATGTGATTCAGGAAAGCAGTGGGAAAGCATGGTAAGCTATAACTGAAGCAATGTATGATGCAAAATTTTAATTAAGAAAATGAAGGCTATTATAAACTCCATTGCCACCATCAGCAAATCTGTTTTCTACAAATATTTCTCATGAAATGGGAGTACTCATTTGGTGTATGTCTGGGCCCGGGGGGGTGACTGGTTGAAAAGGAATGTGGTATTTTAAGCTATAGAGACTCGTGGAAAATTTAATCATTTAATAAAAGATGGCAACTGGACACTAAGAATTGTCCTGGACAACTGGACAACTGAGAATTTGATGAAACAAATGAGCCTGCTCCTGGTATACAAGGGACATGGTTCACCTCAGACATCTGGCACAAGCCACAGGTAAAGTGATGTAAGCATTTCTTTCTCTGCAAAGAAAATGTATCCAAATAAAGTATGAAAAAACTGTCTCAACACAGTAGACATGTAATTACTGTGAGTTCAAACTAAATGTGTTAATCTGGAAAAAGCTGTACTGGCAGATTTCTTTTTCCTTCATTAAGCAATGACTTAGCGTAGAACAATGTACTGCTCACAGCAGCTGTCTCATTCTTGAAATCACAAGCAAAGTTTAAAAACACTGTCTATAATGGAAATGTATGTGCCCTAGACCAGGTTACCATAAACACATCCAGTAAGCATACCTGTCATGCTTCCTATTCTTTGCTGCACAATTTATTTTTAAAAAATTTATAGAAAAACCTATGATTTCACTTCAGCTAATGTGTTTGTACATATGAACTGACATTAGGTACAGCAATGAGGCTACACACCACACCTAACACGTGCACATTTCTTGTTTGTACTTCAAACACAGAGACCCATGTATAAAACACACAAAAAACACAGATAACTGAACAACGTTTCTTTAAAAGTGCTGGAATCCATTAATTGGTAGCATTCTCTAAGAGTTTACAAAAAAATTAAGATGGATACATTATAAATGTAAATTTAGGAGCCTGGAACTGGATGCTGGGTTGGAGCCTCAGCAGCACCACATAAAAGTAAATAAACAAAATAGGGCTTTGTGTCCATCTACAACAACAACAACAAAAATCTTTTACATATAAATTTAGGACAACCAAGTAAAAACATCTGAAATCCACTTTGAGATTAAAACAATGTAACTCATATATTACTGTCCTCTTATATTCCAGATTTTGAACTCATCAGTAGCTTCTGTTTTTGTTTTGTAACATAGTATATAAGCTTCTAAATTCCCCCAAAATATCAACTCACATAAAAGTCGTTACTAACAATTGTGCAGAAGATTAAGGGTTCCTAAATGCTTTTATCAACTTCAAGTACAATGTTGTGCCTAAAGTAAGAACAATACACTCAGTCATTTTAAACACCATCCTCTCCTTTTTATTTTTTTTCCCACAAGAAAATTGTAGATAAAATAAGATTGGTTCAATTTCATTCAAAGAAACAGCAGAGGCACTCCTAGAAATTCTGCCACCTATTGCTCAAGCGCTCTTTGCTTTATAAAGCACTGGAGTACAGCCACCATGCAATTCTTCATAAGTTGAAATTATAATTAGATAAAGAGGACAAGGTCATCTTATGTGACCTATTAAACTTCAGTTTGATAATTAGTACTTCCATAAAAGTCATCCCAGGAATTCATTTGATTTACAAATTTAATTCCTCTTACTAATAAAATGGCAACCACACAAGCCTCTGCAGGGCCCAGGTGCACAGAGGGCCTGGTCCACCCCTTTCCGGGCAGGGCAGACACTCGCCAGAGCCTAGCCTCTGGTGCAGGACCACCCCTTATGACCAGCAGACTACCATGGGAGGTCAACCCCAGTGGCCCAGATCTACCCACTCCAACTTATGCAGGTCCCAGATCCAGGATGCAGCAGCATCCACTGAGGGACACCAGCAGGGTCTGGAAGCCCAACATCAAGGTGAGCTACAGACAATTTGTAGGGATACTACAAGAATATAGAGAAGAAACTGTAATATCTCAGATCCACACTGCAAGAAAGGAAAACACATAGACATCATGAAAAAACAAGTGAGAAAAATGTCCCAAACAAACCAGGACACTATAATAACAGAACCCATGGATAGTGGAGAAGGAGTTCAGAAGGTTCATCATTAAATTGATCTGTGAATTAAAGAATGACCTAAAAGAGCAAATACAAGCAAAAATTGATCACTCCAACAATGAGATAACAGAGCAAATACAGGTAGCAAAAGATTACGTCAAGGGAGATTAAAAAAAACAGTCAGAAATCCTTGAAATGAAGGATTTAATGAATACAATAAATCAAAAAACTCAACAGAAGGCATAACCAATAGACTAGATCACTTGGAAGAAAGAATGTCAGATAACGAAGACAAAGTTTACAATCTGGAAAATAAAGCTGATCACACAGTGAAGAAATTATAAATATCAAATAAAATTACACACAGGAAAGAATTAGAAAATTATCAAACTTTCTCAAACAGTAAAATTTTTCCTTGATCTATATTGTTACTATTAAACAAAAGAATATTTTGCATGAGTTTGAAATTTCTATCCTGTGCTTTGTGTTCGATGCCTTCCCTGAACTGGTAAGAAATTAGGTGGTTTTTTTTTTTTTTTTAAACTTCACAGTGGGCTATCGAATGCACAGAAAAATTAAACAAAACAAGGTACCCAGTTGTGGCCACCTCCAAACACAGTATTGAAACTTCTGGTCTATTGACCATCAGTTTTCAGGATATGAAACATTTTGGGGGTTGCAACTATATGTTTTTAACCTATCCTAGTAGTACCTCAACAAAATTTTGACTGAATGTATGAATAAATTTGAACATAAAATTTAGATATTTTTAATTAATGATAAATCTGAATGGAGATTTGGAGACACAAAATATGTGCTCAAATCTGATCTTAGGAGAAACAAACACTTCTGTAATTCAAGTGGCTCAGGAGACTGAGGCAAGGGGGTCACAAGTTCAAGGCCAGCCTCAGCAACTTAGTGAGGCCCTAATCAACCTAGTGAGACCCTGTCTCAAAATTTAACAAACAAAATAAAAATGAAAATAGGTCTGGGAATGTGGCTCAGAGGTAAAAGCCCCTCTGAGTTCAATCTCTTCTACCACACACACACACACACAAAAAATCACAAATTACGTGATTTTGAATTCCACCTCAGTGCAGTTTCCCATCTGAAAAAACAAAGGGCAAACACCTATGTATTTCATAGTAGCTGTAAAGGCAAAATAAAGTAATAAATATGAAAGTCCTTTGTATATATTTTTAAAAAATGATATTTGAGCTGGGTGTGGTGGCCCATGCCTTTAATCCCAGTGGCGTGGGAGGCTGAGGCAGAAGAATTGCGAGTTCAAAGCTAGACACAGCAAAAGCAAGGCACTAAGCAACTCAGTGAGACCCTGTCTCTAAATAAAACATAAAAAGTAGGGCTAGAGAAGTGGCTCAGTGACCCAGTGCCCCTGAGTTCAATACACATACCAAAAAAATAAATAAAAAAAGATATCTGCTGTTATTATACTACATTATATACATGTAGAAATACATGCATGAAATTTACAAAATCTAAAATCTTTTAAGATGCAACATGACAACTTACATTTAAAATATTTCCCCAAATTAAATGAAGCTTAACATTTCTCTTTAGCCTACAAATAAACTCAACCAAAAATGTATATATATATATATATATATATATATATCTTTCTTCAAATGTATATATATATATCTTTCTTCAAGCTTTTTCTCTTCTCAAGCAAATATTGTCAAAGAATGGACGCCTATGCCTCCTCTTCCTCAATGCACCAACATCTGACCTGGCCACCACTGCCTGCAGAACAGCTTCAATACAGCCAAGCCATTAATTTTTCTTCTCAGCTTTTGCTTTATTTTACACCTGAAGATTTCTTTTTCAGCACCTCTCATAACTATGTTGGCTTCTGCAAAACCCTATTTATTTCTATAATTATTTTTTGTAACTGGTTCAGCTTCTTGTTCGTCAAATGCAGGTGTTCTATGAGGTTCCATACTTGTACCTCTAGGTTGCTCACCCTATTTTTTTTCTTAGATGATCAACTTGCTCCAACAGACTCAGGCATCCTCTTGACATAGCCAACTTCTAGATCCATGTGTTTGTCTCAAGGTACCTTCGAAATATTTCCATCTGCATGGTCTTCATTCTGTTTGAAGTGAAATTCACTACCTTTCTCCCTTCTCTAAAACCTCCTCCCTTCCTTTGTTACCACTCATGGTAGTTGGTGGAACAAAAATTCTAGAGTCATCAATGACTTCTCCACTCTTGCACCCTTCTCATTTCCATGATCTATTCACATAATCTATTGATTCCATCTCTGAAGTGTCTCTCTAATGCATCTACTCTTTTCCATTTTAATGTCTACTGTCTTTATTGGGGCTTAGTTATTTCTTTTTTGAAATATTTTCACTGCCTCTTATCTAATCTCTCTGGTTTAAGTCTCTCAAAATTTGAATCCGTCCTGTGAATGGATGACAAGGAAATCAAAACACTCCTCTATTTTTGATGCTTTCACACTATCTGGAAAATAAAGTCCAAACTCTTCGACATGGCATTTGGGATCCTGCTAATCTATTTCCAACCTGTTTTTCCACTCCTAATTCTGGCCACTCTGTTCTCTCTCTAGAACATGTTATAAACTTTCACAATTTCATGCCCTGGATCATGGTGTTCCCTCTACTTGTTATGGTTGTTCTTCATTTTGGGTCTATGTATATGTCATTTTCTCTGTAACACTGTCTGTGATTGCCTTCTTTCTACTGTTATTAAAAGTACATTTTAGTTTCAAAAAGTGTTCATCTCCTCTACTGCAGTAGGCCCAAAGGGAAAAGTCTTACTCATTTTGATTCACTTTGATAGCACAATATCTGACAAAGACAGTATCTACTAAATACTAAACTGAGCAGACCTATTCCTCATTTCAATAGGCTATACCAAAGAATCATTTTCATCTGTAAAACATCATACTTATACTGATTATTTTGTCAGTTTCATTATAATGTCTTTCTTTCTTGAACTGAGGATTGAACCCAGAGGTGATTTAACTATATCCCCAGCCTTTTTATTTTTCATTTTGAGACAGGATCTCACTGAGTTGCTAAGGGCCTCACTTAGTTGCTGAGGCTGACCTTGAACTTGTGCTCCTCCTGTCTCAGCTTCCCAAGTCACTGCAGTTAGCAATAAAGTTCAGTGAAAATCATTTGGCTTTGGTAATAAAAGAGAAAATGTACCCTAAAGATGAATTATCCATTGTAATCCTCTTGGTTTTACATAAATCAAATAGTAGTTTTTCTCTTGCATTCAGTTTGGAAGGACACAGGAAGTCATTAAAAAATCCAGTCAAATGTCTGTAAAATACAAAGAAACATAATATAAGACCTTTACTAGCACTATTAGAATACCAAGGTAGGAATCATAATGCCTATCAATTTTTACATATTAAAAACCTAGAGATATTGTAAAGTCTAAACGTAGTATTACTTCAACGAAAAGTAATCTTAGAGAAATTGCATTTATGCTAAAGGGGCAGTGTTAAATCAATGTCATGAAATATTTTTGTATAACTCTGAAAAAAAATCTAATAAATACTATTTTAATGAAATTACTCTATCACTGTGTGTGATATAGTTTGTCAGCAAACTATATCCTGTGGGCAAAATGTGGTTCCTCACCTGTTTTTTGTTTAAAAAAAAAAGTTTAACTGGCACACAGACACACTCACTTCTGTTCTGTCAGAGTCTGCTTTTGCTCCACATTGGCAAAGGTGAGTAATTTAGATAGAGACTGAATATCACACAAAACATAAAATATTTATTATCCGGCCCTTTAAAGAAAAATCTGGTCAACTCTACTATAGATAGCAGTTGGAAATCTAGCTGAAAACTAATTCAATTTGTATATTGTGGATTTCTTTTTATTCTAGAATTTAGAATCTTTATGCAAAGATATCATTTCAACAATTTTTTTTAAAAAGCATAAAGATGATATGATAGGAATGTATAGATATCAAGTACATAGTAAACACAAAGAACTTACATACAGGATTTTTTAAAAAACTAAATCAGTTAATTGTAGTACTTTTATTATAAGCCTGCCCGATTATTCACTAACTAGGAAAAGGAATGGCTCATTTTTATAATAGAATATGTTACTACTACAGTCTCATTAAAAAAATATTCTTTTTAAAGGAATAAAAGGGTAAAATTATGTATACTTAATTATTTTTTTAAATAAGGGGAGAAAAAGGTTGACAGAGGAAGAAGAAGAGAGGAAAAGAAAGAAGGAAAAAGAGAGGGAGTCAGAGAAAGAGGCAAGAGAGACTGGAAAGGAAGGGAGAACCCAGTACCTCATTCTCTAATTGATATGAAGCCAATCTGTGTGCCAAAATTAAGGCCATCTCGGACATGGGAGAAAAATTTGTCAGGATGGCAAGATGTACAAAGGTTGAGATCCTGGTTCAGGTCGTGAATATTCTGTGGAAGAATTCCTCCTTGTTCTAGAAGAATCCTTAGGATAAAGATTTTTTGAAAGAGAGCAAGCATTTATTTTACCAAATGCCCAAGAAATATGAAAATAGTATGTAAAACAATGTAAAAGAGTTCTATAAAAAATCTGGCAGGAATAATGCAAATTGTTACTTATGTACACAACAAGAACTAGCTAAGAAATGGTAGATTTTTATCACCTAAATTTATAAATGAACTGTATGAACTTCTATACTGTCCTGTAGACATAATCTAGTTACAGAATTTTATAATCAAAATCAAGGGCTAACTTAAGAAGAAATTTTTCAAACTACAAGAGTATTTTTAACCAAGATTTATTTGGTTTATAGAGAGTGTGCTTTTTAGTGATCTAACAGTCTGGTCTCCTTTCCTCTTAATTAGCCGTATTTTTCACTGAAAACATGTTTCCCTATAAAACTTTATGATATGAAATATGAATGAAAATTAGTGATATTATTTGACAAGTCAAATCAAGAATTAATTCCAATTCTTTACACTTAGGTATTAAGTGAGTAAGGTTTTACTGACTGGAATAAAAACACAATTCAAATCATCTATCAATTTCCTTTGTAGAAATAACAAATATTTTTCAAAAGACAATAAAAGCAAAATTTTTTAAATTCAAGATGCATGAGACCACAAAAAAATGAAAAGTGGCTGTGTATTTATATTACTTGATATTGTTTTGAAAACATATATCCTTCTAATTAATTAGAAAATATGAACAATTTTAAAATATTAGCTTTCTAAATGTTTTTGTATTCTAGAGAGTTTACCTAAGGAATAACTGTAATGTCAAATAAATGCCAGTATTTCTATATGAAGTAGAAATTGAATCTTTTTCAAGGCCAGCTGTTTCTTCCTTCATTTTCAAATCAATGAGAGACACCAGATAAGAAATTTAATGTCATTTGAACAGGTTGAGAATAGATTTTATATTTAAAATGAGTTTTTGTGTAGTGTAGTGTGTTGTGTAGTGACTGCAGTGTATATCTGCCACCTGTCTTCTTGGAGTTAGCAGTTGTTCTCTAAAATAATTTTCATTTCAGAAGCAATAAACAATAATCAAACTTGCAGTTCCACAGTGAAATCAAACATACCTGGTGGCTTTACGGATGTCAATATGGGGTCTGGGTGAGTTAAAAAGTCGTACGCATTCAGGATGAAGATTATGAAATGCGTTTGCTGATTCCCTGGGAAGAGTAAAACAGCAAGGTCCTACTGAAGGTCCCAGTACAACAATAATGTCTTCTAAGCTACAGCCATATTCTGCTATCATAGCATTCACTGTAGCCATAGCAACTCCTAATAAAGTACCTTTCCAGCCTGGTAAACAGGAAGAAAAAGAGATAAGGAAGATTACAGCATAAAATTTCAACTCAATTTGTGTCTAACTTAAAAATGAATAGATTCAGTTTCTGGTTCACATAATTATTACACAAAGTACTTTTTCCAAAGTGAGATGTACTATTACAAAATACAATGACACAGAATAGCTATTTAATGAGAGTCACTGTCCTCTTCCTTTAAAATTTTCTATATGCTTCATTTATACCATCTTAGTCTTCTCTCTTTACAAAATATTAATTGTGGTAAGAAACATATAAAATGTACCATTTTAAGTGTACAATTCAGTAGTATTAAGTATATTTACCATGTTGTATAACCAACCTCCAGCAGAACGTTTTCATTCTGCAAATCTGAATCTCTATATCCATTAAATAACTAATTTCTCCCTTCACTTAGTCCCTGGTGTCACAATTCTTCTTTGTTTCTACAAATTTTATTACTCTAGATACTCCTATAACTGAAATCACATAGTTTTTATCTTTTGGGGAGTGGCTTATTTTATTTAGCATAACGATCTCAAGGCTCATTCATGATTTAGTATATGTCAGAATTTCCTACCTTTTTAAGGCTAAATAATATTCTATTGTGGTATACCACAATTTGTTCACTCATTCACCTGTCATTGGATGTTTCCTTTGCTTTCACATCTTAAGTATTATGAATAATGCTGCTATAAACATGGGGCAGTATATGTCTTTTAGACTGTGCTTTCAATTCTTTTAAATGTATATTCAGAAATATAGTTGATAAATCATATGACAATTTTATTTTGAAATTTTAAGGAATTGCCATACTGTTTTCGGAGGTGTGAGTCATTTAACATTGTTCCTTTTTTTTTTCTTTTCCTGAGATTGTTGTAACTATCAGGAGCCCTCTGAGATTCCATTGAAATTTCGAGATGGATTTATTTATGAAAAAGTGCCTTTGGGATTTTGTAATTAATCTGTAGACCACTTCAGGTAATACTGACATCAATAATAAGTCCTCCAATCCATGAACATGGGATTTCTTACCATTTTTTTTGTTTCTTCTTTCATTTCTTTCAGCAATATTTTGTAGTTTTCATTTCTACCTCACTTTCTATATGTAAAACAAGTCTATTTCAATTAACCTTCCCTTTTACAAACTTCCCTTTCTCTTTGTTGGATCCTGTGGAATTCTAAGATTAAACCATTCTCCTTCTCTCATCTATTTCTGGAAGACAAAAACTAAACAATGTTGCTTTTTTCCTTTATTCCCTATATTGGGAGTAAGATTCAGCTGATTTAGCTGGACAGTAAGGAGCCCCCTTACTCCTTCCTTCAACACTCCATATGTATATGCTTCTAAAACTAAGCACTCAGGTGAAGAGACCAATCTTTCCAGATAAAGGAAGGAGATGATGAAAGCAAGAAATATTTAGATGATAAACTTCTCCTGGGAACCCACTAGATATGTGGTTTATGGAAAGAACAGAATGAAATATCAGATTCTAGGTAAGTAAGTGGATTATCAGTGGCCAAAATAGGAAACCAATGTGGTAGAGAAGGCATTAGGAAAAACATATTGCATTTTTAACATGATGATTTTCAGCTACCTCTGAAATTACAGGCAGTGATTTCAGAAGAAAGCAACTATAAAAAAGCATTCTGAGCTAAAAAAGAGATATTGTCAAGGCTTTTAATGGATAAGAGCATCTCTCTTCCTTGGAGGCCTTCCTTAATTATTCACACACATACAATATATTCATCTTCTCTCTATTTGTTTCTTTCCTGAAGGACATGCATATGCAAATATATACATCTGGCTGAAGAATTTTTATTAAATTAATCATATAGAAGAATGTTATACTTTCTCTGATATCTGATAAAATAATTTCAAGGTTAAAAATTATAATGTGAAAGTTCACTTTTATAACTTCATTTTGACTGCTTCATCTGAGACACCTTAAAACTAAACATTTCAAAACATTATTATTAAATAATATTTCCTTTTTAAAACCAAGAACTGAGATTCAAAACTTAAACAACTTTTGACAATGTAATATGATACATGTTACTTCTCAACCAATTCCATTAATTTAGTTAGGTCAAAAGAAAAACATGTCACTTTCTTCTTTATAGTCTAAATATCAAAGTAGTCACAGATTTACAACTAATAGGGAATTCAAAACATCATTTCTCATTCCACATAGAACCATAACCACAGGAAAATCTAAATATTATTTCAATACCTTCACACAAAAAAAATTCTGTAACCTTATAGCATCTGAAAGTACATCTGTGCTCTTCAGCAACAGTTATGGTTAAATACATATAGCTTTTTAAACTAAAAGCAGTTTTCCAAACGTGTCTTGTTTTTTTTAACTCCCTACTTTTACATCTGTTGCTACATCTGCGTGAATTACTTTCTACACCTGCCTGACATTCCTACTCTCTGGTGCCTGGATATCAAGGGTCCCAAACAGAGGCAGCACCATGTCCCTAGGCAGTGCTTAGACAAGCATGGAGGGTTGCTATTTGATTATTGCAATGACTGGGGGTACTAATGGGATTAAGAATTGCAAGGGCCAAAGATACTTTCAAGGGCACAGTAGGATTATCTTACCCCCTAATGTTAATAATATCCTTGCTTGCAAACACTGACACTAAAGGATCCTTAGGAATCTACCTAGAGACCATCTCCTTTGGGAATTCTACTCTGATTCATATCATTTGACTTATATATTCCCTTTATCTGCTCCTATAATAAGAGTATGCCGCCCCACCCCTATCACAAAGTAATATAATTAACTGTCACACCCACTAGAAAAATTTATTTCCCTGTATTAAAAATTTAGGAAAAATCCTAAATGCTTATTTAAGTATACTTACCAGAGTGAGCAACCCCACATGCTTTTTTGACAGGATCTGCGAAAACTATAGGTATGCAGTCAGCACCAGGAGCTGCTATTGTGACTCCTCTCTGGTTCGAAGTTATTCCATCAAAAGATTCAGGCTCCTTCCTTCCCATAATCCAGACTTCATTGGCATGATCAGTCTAATACCAAAGATACATTATAAAAAGGTTTTGAAAACTGGGTTTCTCATATCATAAGCTTTTCTGTAAGTACTTATTTGAGTGCAAAATTACATAACCAGCAAAAATTACTAGAATTCAATAAATCTATCATTTCAATACAAAATACTAAATGCAATATCTCTGCATATTTTATTCAAAGGAAACTAGGTCTTAACACTTAAGAGTTTAATAAAATTCATCGTGAAGACCTTATACTTGAAATGGGTACTAGTCTTCCAAAAAGTAGAAATTTAACATTTTAATGAGGAATTTAATCAACTATCAAATTAATTTTGCAATTATTTTTCCTAGACTCAAATCAAGCTAGAATTTTGTAAGGAACAAGACATTATTCCTTAATTATGATGCTAGGTTTTAGAAAATAATGGCTTTTCTTTCCTACTCTTCAGGAATCTTTCTTCTACAACAAAAAGGGCAGTGTTACTATACTAAGAATTAACCATACTTTTAGAATTGAAGAGCTACAGTGGGTTACCAATGGTAACCTACCAATGGTAACCCACTGAATAAAAAAAGTAATCCATATGTGTGTATGTGTGTGTGTGTGTGTGTGTGTGTGTGTATATATATATATACAATGAGATTTATATAAATATGAGATTTATGTAAATATATATTTATGAGATTTATATATCTTATAAAATTGATCTTTAGGCTATGATATATAAATCTAAGAAAACAACTCCTAAAATTTTAGATAAAACACCAAAAGCAAAAGTGAAATACCTTAATTAAAATTCATTTAGTTACTGGTGTGGTCTAAAAATATGGTTCAAACTACGAAACAAAATTTTACCTTTATTTGATAAAATTTTTCCACATTAAATCCTGCAGTATTTGCCAACCTACGTAGATTTTCTTGAACAACCACCTTGGGATCTCTTCGTTTGGAACTACTGAAGAGATTGAAGGAACTAAGAGTTGGTATATAAGATATCCCACCTGTTCTTGTAGTAAATCCATGTATGAAAATATCTGTTGAAGACAAGTAATGAAGATTAAAAAGATTCTCCCAAAAGACTACAAAGCATTACAAAAGCCAGACTCTCCAGCAGACCTCCCTGATCACTTCAACCAGCTCTTATTTATCTGGCTTCTAATTTTGACAGCACTTTGTACCTCCATATGTTCTTATTACCTACTGCTGTTTACCTTCCATATGGGATTACTGCTCTTCAAAGGGTATCTTCTGTCTCAGACCTGTCTTTTTCATACCAACAGCACACAGCTCACAGTAAATACTGTCTAACCAAGAAGGAAGATTGACTATTTTAAATTTCACTCTTCTGGGAAAGTATTAATGAGTTGATGTTTCAGAATTTCTAAATAAAAGATTTCCAGTGTTATAAATCACATTGTAAGGAAGGGCCGGGAAATTTGCTTAAAGCTAAATTTGTTTAGAACAAATTTGTTTATTTAGTATGGCTTTGAAGGAGTTTTCTCTTTTCACCCCTGACTCACAAGGCCATCCATAACACACATTGCAAATGATGCTAATGACCAGTAAGTGAACAAAAGAAAGGGTGGGGAGAGGTGAGCATCCTCTGAAGACAGACTGGATTTTTCACATATACAGAAAAACAACAGAGAATATTGAAAATACCTGGGATCAAAGGAGATGTGATAATAGTTAATTCTCCTTTCAGTGCTGGCAGACTTCTCAAATATGTTTCTATTTCACTCTGGATTTCTTCTAGTTCATGAGCTGTGATTGTGTTTATCTCAGTGGACTGTTTCAAAAGGCCATCCCTCAAAGTCACATGTAAATCTTCAAACTCAAAATTGTAAACCTCAGTGAAGAGACGATCAATAAAAGCCTTCATTAAGGTTTTCCTGTGTGCAGGTACAATTACCTTAATGCTGCTCAGATGTTTTTCATCTATTTTTTGTTTAATGGTATACAAAGAGGCAGCCATGCTGGGATTTCTAATAATCTCAAATTCTCTCATAAGAGTTAACAATCCATTGCTTGTTTCCAGTTCACAATTATCATGTTCACCATCCCTTTCACAGCTCATTTTCCTGCAATCCATTATGCAAAGAAATTTGGCCTTGGCAGCAAGGTGGTATTGGATGACATTCAATGTCTTCAATAATGTCTCATGGAAGTTTTCCTGACAGGTTAACTTCAAACCAAAGAGATCAATCAAAACTGCTTCTGCCATCCTTCAATAATACACAAAGTTTTTCAAAGAAGACTTCTATGCCAAACGAATTACCTGAAAAAAAGAAAAACTGGCACAAGTAAGAATACAAAATGATATCAATTTTCTTACACTTACAACAGAAATTTGTGGTGAATTAAAAACAAGAAGAATTAATTGTCTTTACCTCAAAAAGTAATCAAAATAGGGTTGTGGCTCAGTGGAAGAGTGCTTGCCTAGCAAGTGTGAGGCATTGGGTTCCATCTACAACACCACATAAAAAATAAAACAATACAGTCATTGTGTCCATCTACAACTAAAAATATATATATATATATTTAAAAGTAACAAATTGTACCTATACCCCTTCCAGAAAAAAAACAGACCACTATTAATCATAAGAGAAACATGACAAAGTCATCTTTTATTCTTTTTGTGAACATGTGGATACATCTTTCCAGAACAATAATTCTTCTTCTTTATTTTCTTTACATAGGAAATTTCAGTAGAAAATTACTTTTTGCCTTAGAAAGTCCTGTTTTTTAATTACAGGGTGTCAATCTACGTGCTCTATCATTGGTTCTGCATAATTGTTAAATTGGGTCACATCCCCTCATATGAAACCTAGAGAGGCCTTAAGTTTAAGAGTTTAACCTGAAAATCGAATTTTTGTGGGATGGAAGCTGAGGGACTAAGGGACTTCCCTCAGTGTGTGCCTTCTGGGCAAGGATCACGGAAGCAGCCGCCACTTGGATCCCAGGCGCTTCCTACCTACCTGGTTATTCTGGTTGGCGCCCAACTCCTCACCTTCACGCGAGGTTAAAAGTCCCCCCTCCCTGGTGACGCTTTGGGTGACCCCTTTGCCCCGACCCTGTTCTCCCTCCGCCCCCTCGTCCTCTCCGCTCCCGCCGAATTTCATTTCGACAGCTGTGAGAGGGTGGCCACCCGCCTTTGATGGACACCAGGGATTCCCACGCGGCATGTCTGTCACCGCGGAGTCCCTGTCCACTGTGCGGCGCTCGGCTCCAGAGCATGGGCGGCAGCTCCGCACCCGCCCGGCTGCTCCACCGACCGCTCCCCGCCCACTTAGGGCTTTGGGACCTGCGGACAGACTCGCAGCAGCGCGGTTCCCCTTCTCGCGCCTCACCCTCGGCTGCCTGGCCTGTCTGCAGGCAGCTCGGCCACGACCCGCAGCCTCCCTCCCGACCCCGAGTCCGCCCGAAACCCGGAAGCAGCGAGCCCCACGCACCTACGTCCCTCACCGCGGCCGCGCGGCTCCGACAGCCTCCACTCCGGCTCCGGGTGGAAACCGGACTGCGGGGGCTCGGGGCCGGGGTTCCCGGGACGAGTCGGCGACGAGGTCCCGCCGCCGCTCAGCAGTTCCGGGTCAGGTCCGCCGCTGAGGTCGCAGGCGCAGGAGCCGCAGCCACAGAAGACCCTCCGGCGGAGCCAGGCGGGTCCCGGGGCCGAGGCGGGCAGGCCGGACCCAGAGAGGGGGCTGCGGGAGCGGGGGCGCCGTGGAGTGGTCGCCAGGAGGGAAAGGCGGGTCCTGTGAGGGCCGGGGCGGCGGGAATGGCGGCCGTCGGGCCGCGAGCGCGCGGGGGGCAGGAGTCCGGGCTGCGGGCGAGTCCTCTGAGCGGGCTGGAAGTCCCCGCACTGGCGCTTCCCGATGACCCGCTGAGCCAGCAGTGGGGCGGGGACACTTGGTTTAAGGAGCCCAGGCCCGATCCTGTCAAGTTAGCTCTTAGCGACTTGTCCCCTCCAGGTTCAAGGAATGGGCCTCTAGGGGGCGGTTGGTTAGTGTAGTTTTTGTTTGCCTTTTGGTGATTCTGCCTTTCTTGAGAACAAGCCAATCCTCATGACAGCTCCCTCACTTTTATTGACTGCACAAAGGTCGCTTATGCCCCTATCCCTTTTTTGCCCTTCTTTAAAAATAGGTGCCTCTAATTGGCAGAAGGCACTGATTCTTAGAATCGTGTTAAAGATACAATTAAGCATGTGTTACATTTCCTCCAAGAATATGATTTAACAAATATTGAGCAGGTAAGGATGGAAGGCATGTGCTTTGTTAAAGGAGAAAAACTTCTGCCAATTACAGTCATTTCCTTTCACTTTCTGGTACTAAATTCATCTGTCATCCCATTACTCTACTTATCCCAGTGGTTTTCAGTCCTGGCTACACATCAGAATTAAAGTGGAACTTTAGAATAATAATAATAATGCAGGAAACCCCACCCCAGATATACATTGAATCAAAATCTTCTAGAGTCAGTCCTGGCATGTTTTGTTTTTCTTTCTTGTTTTTTTCTTTACAGTTGATTTAGATGCATAATTTGTTTTCAAAAAATAACAGCCTTCTTCCCAAGCCATTCAGAAAAAGGCTTTATTTATTTATTTTTTTTTTTTTTTGGATAGGCCACATGACTTAATCTTTTCTTTACATTTGCTGTTTGTTCTACTTAGGACATCCTTCTTTTTGTATGCCTGTTTAACTGTTTGCTCCTTATTCAGTCTTCAAGCTCAAACATAGCCTTCCTTGAATTCCCATCCAAGCTGCAGAATTTGTTTCTTTAGCATTTTGTTCACATACCAGAAACCCTCTTTTGATATAGTCCAGACCTCTATCCAAACAATAAATTGAAAAAGTTGGTTAAACATTGAGTTGTATACTGTATACGGATGAACTTTATGTTATATAAATTATATCTAAGCACAGCTTTTTTAAAATAGAAAAGAGCAGTTAAGCCAGAAAATCATGAAAAAGTGTAAAATTATAAACTTTTATTTTTTACCTAAAACAGCTGTCTGCTCATTTGCCAATCTATTCAGAAAGCCCAGGGTCTTTTCTTTGCACATGGTCTACTGATTGGAGTTCTGTATTTTATCTCTTGCATAAGTCATACAGCTAACCCACTAGTAAGATTTCCCGAGATTTTGTTCTTTTAAGAGGAGAATAAAGGCAATTGTGAATTAATCTGAGTGCAATTTTAATCTTCATAATCTTTAATAGTTATCTTACACAGCTTTATTGGATCTTTCCAAAATATTAAGCATAGTTCTTAAAGAAATGAGGAACTTTATTTCCATGCTATTACATTTATGTATATAATATGTTATAAAAGTACAATATCAAATACAAGTGGCCTAAACAGATTGGGAACAAACACAAGTAACTCATAGGACCCCACATCTGGTAGTGCAGAAACAGGCAGCCTCATTGGAGAGTACTTTGCTAGCCATGAGCATTTAGCATGATATGGGAATTAGCCACTTACGATTTACAAAAGAAATAGGGTTAATTGCTTAGAGGTCAAATGTAGATAGGCTAGGAGAGCATCTACTCTGCTTCTCCATTTTAATTATTTGACTATATGTGTTCTTCCTCATAGAGATTTAGAACATTTATTCTGAAGACAGAGATTGTGCCTTTCTTTTCAGGGGAACTGCTGGGGAAATCCCCAGACATTCTTACCCTAACATGTAAATTTTATAAAAACGTGGAATTTTAAAAACTTGTTAACATTGTTTTTAAGGCATTTGCACAACAGTTTATGGATCTTCTTAAAAGCTTGAACTAGTTTCCTGGGGCTTCCATACCAATTACCACAAACTAGATGGTTTAAAATGACAAAAATTTGTTCCCTCACAGTTGTGGATGTCAAGTTATAAAACAGAGGTGTTGACAGACTTTGTACTCTTTGAAGCTTTCCTTGCCTCTTCCATTTTTTGGTGGCTCCAGACATTTCCAGCCTGGTGACTACATGACATGGGGGTCTGTGCCTCCATCTTCACTTGGTCTTTCTGTGTGTCTGAGTCTCAACTCTCTGTCTACCTTTCTCTTATAAAGAGAGCTTGAAAATAAATGGAAGATCAACCAAATGAGAACAAGCAAAGGCTATTTGTTCAGAGATTGCAAGGAATTCGGCTACCATCTGCATTTTAGCTGAGTCAGAGGCAGGAAGTGGAGTGAGTATGACTTGATTGGAGGTATAGACTTAGGGAAGCTACAGGCAGGCTAATTAGAAGTGAGGCATCCAATGTGATTGATCAGGGGTGTATATTTGATGTTCTCTGGTTGGCCCCAAGTTGGAAGCAGAGATAAGAATTAGGGAAAATATCATCATTAATCAGTAGTGACTATTTGGGGAGTTCTTGTTATATGTGGTTTCCTAGGTTGTGTTACTAGAGATAGTGTTCTGACTTTCTACATGTCTGATTTATAAATAACAAATTGGCTTCCTGGACTGCTTACTGTAGATAGTGAGTCGGTTTCCTGGGTAGGTTGCTGCAGATTGTTTCTCAGAGTTCTGATTCTTTTTTTAATGGTCTGACCATTGTATGTTTACATATTCATTCTTACACCTTCCATTGAATTTAGGGCCCACACAAAATCCCTTAACAAAACCACATCTGCAAAGATTCCTTCTTCTTTTTTCCCCACTTAGGGTCACATTCATGGGTTTTGAGCATTAAGACATGGACGGATGTATCTTGGGAGCAATCATTCAACCCACCAAAAATTCTTCTTGGTTTAGAAATGATGCCTGCTTGTTTAGAGAAAGAAGACAGAAAGAAACAAAAACCTTATCCCTTAGTGTCATAAATAGGCAGGTAGGTTATGACTAGATTTCGCCAAAGACCTATTATTTCTATCACAAAGGCAGGGACATTTTGCAATGGTTGCCTGGGCATTCCTTAAAGCTTGAATTGGAGTTTCAGACCAACCCTTTGGTCTACACTCCCAAATGAGATGTTTTGGTAGGCACTAACAAAACATGTCTATATATTCAGAGAAACTCCACCTTTGGTAGAAAGCTTGAAGCAATGTGGATAACATGAATACTGCCTGCATTATCTTAGAAAGTTAAGGAACAAAACAAACTTATCTAATTTTTTCCGTTTTCAATATCCTGACATTTTCATTTCAGTGCCTGGTTAGAAAATGGAAAAAATCACTAGTTTCAGTAGATTCTAAGGCACTGGGATATAATAGGTATATAATACAATTTTCATGATTTGATCTATTAATTCCTTTTGGACGAAGGCTGGATATGTTCTAACTTCTAAAAACGTGGTTGAAAGTTCTGGGCTAGGGCTGTAGCTCAGTGATAGAGCGCTTGCCTAGCAAATGTGAGTTGCTGGGTTTGATCCATAGCACCACATAAAACTACATAAAATAAATATTGTGAAAAAAATTCTTTTTAAACTTTTTATTGTTTTTATTTATATATGACAGCAGAATGTATTACAATTCTTATTACAAATATAGAACCCAATTTTTCATGTCTCTGGGTGTATACAAAGTATATTCACATCAATTCATGTCTTCATACATGAGCTTTGGATAATAATGCCCATCACATTCCACCATCAGTTTTAACCCCATACCTCTCCCTTCTCCTCCCAGCACTCTGCCCTATCTAAAGTTCATCTATTCCTCCCACGCTCCCTGTCCCTACCCTACTATGAATCAGCCACCTAATATCAGAGAAAACATATGGCATTTGTTTTTTGGGGATTGGCTAACTTTACTTAGCATTATCTTCTCCAACTCCATTTGTTTACCTGCAAATGCCATAATTTTATTCTCTTTTATTGCTGAGTAATATTCCATTGTGTATATATGCCACAGCTTTTTAATCCATTCATCTATTAAAGCATCTAGGTTGGTTCCACAGTTTAGCTATTGTGAATTGTGCTGCTATAAACATTGATGTGACCGTGTCCCTGTAGTTTGATGTTTTAAGTCCTTTGGGTATAGACTCAGGAGAGGGATTGCTGGGTCAAATGGTGGTTCCATTCCCAATTTTTCAAGAAATTTCCGTACTGCTTTCCATATTGGCTGCACCAATTTGCAGCACCACCAGCAATGAATGAGTAGACCTTTTTCCCCACATCCTTGACAACACTAATTGTTGTATTCATAATAGCTGCCATTCTGACGGCAGTGAGGTGAAATCTTAAGAGTGGTTTTGATTTGCATTTTTCTAATTGCTAGCAATGATGAACATTTTTTCGTATATTTGTTGATTGATTGTATATCATCTTCTGAGAAGTGTCAATTCAGGTCCTTGGCCCATTTATTGATTGGGTGATTTGGTTTTTTTGTTGCTTAGCTTTTTGAGTTCTTTATATACCCTAGAGATTAGTGCTCTATCTGATGTGTGTGTCGTAAAGATTTGCTCCCAAGATCTAGGTTCTCTATTCGCCTCACAGATTGTTGTTTCTTTTTCTGAGAAGAAACTTTTGAGTTTCAATCCATCCCACTTATTGAGACTTGATTTTAATTCTTGTGTCACAGGAGTTGTATTCAGGAAGTTGGGGCCTAATCCCACATGATGGAGATTAGGGCCTACTTTTTCTTCTATTAGACGCAGGGGCTCTGGTTTTTTTCTAGGTACTTGATTCATTTTGATTTGAGATTTGTGCATGGTGAGAGAGAGGGGTTTAATTTCATTTTGTTGCATATGGATTTCCAGTTTTCCCAGCACCATTTGTTGAAGAGGCTATCTTTTGTTCGATGCATGTTCTTGGCACCTTTGTCTAATATAAGCTAATTGTAGTTTTGTGGGTTAGTCTCTGTGTCCTCTATTTTGTACCATTGGTCTATGACTCTCTTTTGGTGCCAGTATCATGCTGGTTTTGATACTATAGCTATGTAATATATTTTAAGGTTTGATGTGATGCCACCTGCTTCACTCTTCCTAATAAGGATTGTTCTAGCTATTCTGGGTCTCTTATGTTTTCAGAAGAATTT